AAAAAAAAAAAAAAAAAACAGAAAAAAAAGGAAAAAGAAAAACTAGAAACTTCTAAAAGTTCATCGATTGTCACACCATCACTCAACAGGGGGTGGGGGTGTAGGTGGTGACTTGATGCAGATCTACTGGCAGCTCACAAGCCCTCACTCCTGTCAGTTCATTGGCTGGCAAACATGAGTGTTGTGCGAGTCCGGTGGCGTCGGGAGCTCATAAGTTGATGTCGCGCACGTCTGTCGGGGTGCTGGACTGGTCTTGCTGCTCCCTCGCCTTGCTGCCGGCCCGGACGCTGGTCTCCTGCCGGTACTGCTGCCCCTGCTGCAGGCTGGTGGTCAGCACACGCTCTATTTGTTCCTGGCAGGCCTTCAAACAATCCTGGAACAATTTTAAAAAGGGTCAGCAGCGGTTAAACACACCCTTCCATCAAACCTCTGCTAGCGTCTGGGTGCTTTAAAGACACATAATCCCCTCCAGCCAAGATTCATTTTTGCAGGTTTGCAATGTTTAGCACTATATTGAGTGGCAACTGAAGTCAAGCCTTTGATTTAGGAAAAATCCTTAGTCATCACTCAAAATATCTGTTCAAGGATTTAAAATGTATCACTATTCATGCACATAAACAAAGTAAAAAGAAATAAAAGTACAGAAATGTTACATTTAAGTGATTTTTATGGCTTCCACAGCATAAGTTGAAGGCATACACATGCCCTTTAACTGGCTCTCTCTGCTCTACTATAGCCGTGTTACTGTAAATCCCCCCGCAGTCTGCTCACTTAATCTGTGCACCTGTATGCAGACACTAGTGTGCAAAATGTTGGAATTTCAGCTGCATTTGACATGCGAGTTGTTTAACAGCTTTGGTCACATGCATGGAATACCAGCGGGGAATTATGTTGTGCTGCGGTAGGTGGTCCTGTCTGCATCATGACCAGAACAATGGGTGCCAGCACACTCCGATACCAGTGGCACAGAGCAGCGAGCTGCACAGCGGGCACCGGACATGTGCATGTCTGTGGTATAAGCTGAAGGACTCCCACACGAGCTCTGGGGAGTGTCAGGGAACTCTGGACTCCCTTCCTCCACCCTCCCTTGGGTTTACTTCACGGTCAATCCCATGTGGAGGTCTTAGAGGAAATGGCTTTGACCTGCTGCACCCTAACCCTCTGAGTTAGGGTGTAAAACAGAATATAGGACAGTGGGACCGGATGTTTTTGAACGGCTTTTCTTATTAAAAGGGATCCTCTCTTCGTCTCCCTCAGTCTCCGTCCCCCCTGCAGGTCTGTGTGAAAGATGTGGGAGGTCTGCCTCTCTGAGCCGGCTGCAGGACTCTTAAGGAATGAGCAGAGCTCGCGGAGGGGCCAACATTCCTTTAAAATGCACGAATAATTGGAACCCGATGGGCTGCAGACGGAGTGCCTGTTGTGACGGCCGGCTGGGTCGCGGGGCCCACATCACCATGGCAGCGCAACCACAAGCTAAGAGTGCCGTTTCTAAGGCCTTTATGGATTTCTATCCTGAAATCTGTGTGACTGTTGTGCTGCAGCAAAAAACTACCTACCCAGTATAGATGCCCTCTGAGAGTACTTTTTCTCAGTTATCAATATTTAAAGAAAAGATATACCAGTGACTATGACTAATATATCTATCTATCTATATACATCTTGCCCACAGATACAAACAGTTGTATGTCTTTACAGTTTACAACATCTCCTAGTGCACACTGATGAACTGTAAAAATGACATTATGATGGCACATCTACCCTGGTAGTGCACGCCATCATTGATAAGGTCAAGTAAGTTTGCCCGTCTCATTTGAAGCCGTCTGGACGTTCAAGGAAAAAAGTGCAAACTAATCCAAGACTTGATATTCTTACGATCCAGGGACTCAGTACAGGCATGATGCACGAAATTCTCCGACTTAGATTAAGCGTAGCTGTCAGCGAACAGTTGAGTCCCTTGGCAGTGTTTTTTTTCTCTCTCCCTGGGCGCCTTTCATGTTGCACAAAATGAATTTTATTAGTGCTACAGATCCCATTTAACAGTAATCATGTGGCAAAAATGGAGCTGTTTGCCCAGGCGTGAAACCGTCATCTATTCTACCATAATGTACAGTTATTAGACAGATGTCAGCCTAACTGATTGAAAAAATATTAATTTGTAGCATTTTGCTCTTTATTTACTTGCTTTTAAACTTCTCTTTTACTTTTTTCAAGCCGTTATTCATGTGTAAAACCAATGATGGCCTAATAAAACACACTAGTTAGCTTAGCTTAGACTACTCCTTTTAAAAATTAAAAAACAAATCCCAGTGCTTAGGCCGAGCAGACCACTGGGCTTCTGATACTTTAATTAGCAGATTTTACAAACTACCGTATTTTTCGGACCATAAGCCACACTGTCGATGAACAGGTCTGTTTTCATACATAACACGCACCGGATTATAAGCAGAATTAAGCAAAACAAAACAGTCAGATAAGTCAAACTTTACTCATCTCATTCTTCTTGCTTCCTCCACTTCCGTACTATTAATTAATTAATGTTGACTTCTCTCGCAGCTGCTTTACTCCCGTGTTGTTGCAGTATATTAATGACTAATCTCGTACTGTGGATGGATTATCTCAGTTGTTCTCCTGACTGAAGTTTGGTCCGTTTACAGCATCCTGCTATGCGATTGCATTTGTCTCTAACCATCAGGAACCCTCACGTTAACTTTTATTGAGAGGAAAAAAGTTGGCGTTCATCCTCCATCTTCACTGTGTTTATGTCATGCTAATATAGCTGTGATGCTAGTGATCACGTAGCACATCACGCAGCTAATCCAACTTCAGTAACCCTACAAACGTCACTGCTGTTTAGTTTTCTGTCTTCATTTATGTTGGAAGTGATAACAGAGCTGTACGTTTTAATTTTTTCAGAAATCTCCCAGTCAGAACATGCTATATCATGTTTAGGTGGAAAATAGCGAGCTAACTTCCTGCTAATTTCTAACTCCATTAAATTTCATCAATTCTGTTTTCATTGATGCCTAAATGTTAAACTTAATTGTTATACCTGGTAAAGCAGCAACTCTGATGATTTTATTAAAGATGAAAGAATTTAGACAGTTTTTAACTGTCAGTGATGCCGCAATGTTAGTTTGACTTTGGGACCTGAAGCAGACGGAGTTTTGGACCCAAAACTGTGGGAGCATTACAGCAACCTGACTACGGTAGCCGTAATGCTCCCACAATCCATTAAGCGGTGTGGCTTCGTACCTTACCAAAGTCGTACTAAAACATATTTGAGAGATTTTTGAGCACCGTGTACCACACAAAATCGATTCGAGGTCAGTAAGCACAACCAGAATTCATACAATAGGTGTATCGGATTATAAGGCGCACTGTCAATTTTTGTGAAAATTAAATGATTTTAAGTGCACCTTATAGTGTGGAAAATACCGTAGTTGGCGGGTGATTGAGGATGCTAGAAGATTTCTGCAGTCAACTGCAGTTTGCTCAACCTGTCTGCAAACACTTGTACTAGCCGAGAAAATGAAAGTACGTTCGCCTTCAGAGAAAAAGTTGTGCTGGTTTAGTGGCATTCCTTGCTTCTGTCTAAGGCTTAAACACCCAAAAATGTATTAATTTTTTTTTTTTAAAGTGGAACTTTTACTTTGAAGGTAAACGTTCCGCGTTTGAAGTTGCACTTTTCAGTTTCACTCCTGCTCAGAGAGTAGCTTGCAAGTATTTGTACACAGGTCTTCCATGCAAAGATCCAGCAGCTGTTAGGAAGTTTTCACTAAAACTCAGAGTGCGCGCATTTTTGGCGACTGGTCTCTGGGCCTTCTTTACTTGACCCTACACTGTCACACATCCAGAACACCAAGTTAGCATCACGTGGTTAGTGGTCAGGTGTCTGTAAAACCTCAAAACAATAGAAACTAGTTGCAGCTGCATGTCACACACTTTGAGATTTGAGCAGTATTGTCTGATATTTTAAAGCTCAGCAAGTTACACTACACACTGAAGTTAGTCTGTTGCAGGTAACTCTGTGTCTGCATCAGCCTTCACTGGAAAAGATGCTTCTTGCCTTCAGTGCATACGTATTCCTCCACCAGGAGGGGCACACAGCTAAAGTGGGAGCCCTGCAAAGAAATTGCATGTGTCGTACCACAAGAATGTGGGCTCTGAGTTTTAAGAAGACATTCCCTCTGCTCTTTATAGCAGCAGTCTGGCTCCCCAGCCAGCAGCCAAATGCTTGCTCTCCCTCTCTCCATGAAAAGTAAATAGCTTCAGCCTGCCACCACTGAAGTCATCACTGTTGTTTACTAAAGAGCCTTTTATACTGCTGTCGTGAGATGTTGCAATGATCGCTATTAACAGCATATTGTTTCGAAGCGCTGAAACTATTGAGTAATTCCTGCTGTCGAGTATAAATTTCCCCGCTGTGGTACTCACCACCTCAGTGTTGGTGATCTTGGCCAGCAGGTCTGTCAGGTTGTCTCGACTCAGCTTCTGGTCAGTGTGGTCCAACTGCAGGCCACAGATAGCGGCTCCCATGCTGCCAGAGGCTATCATAGAAGGAGGGTTCATAGCAAGGCGGTCATCTGGTGAGGGAAAGAGAGAGCGTTAATGTGCAATTAGTGAAACAAGAGCAGCTTTTAAGCCACGGTGACACATGGAAATTACATCCTCAATGTGACACAGAGCAACATTACTTAAATCCGCCCAGAGGAAGCGTCACAGATGCATAAGAGGTGAAACGTCTGAATCATCTCCATCATACATGCTTTACAGCTGAATCTGATTTTCCCACAGTCTGGATTTCAGCAGACGAAGCTCCACAGTGGAACCTGTGTGGCGTCCTTCACAGGAACTTCAGCTGTGATTAGAAAAACAGAGTAGGAATCCTCCTACTCGCTGAGCAATGAGTTCCAGGCATGACTCCCTTCGGTCTGCATCCAAGTCTCAGAGACTTAAGTGACAACAGGCCTGGGAGGAGGCAGAAAAGGAGGCGGACATGGAGAGAACAACAAGGAAAACCAGCAAGTGCTGATTGTGAGAAGTCCTTTCCACCGCTTGGTTATTCGATTAAGTAACAGCAAAGAGCTTCAGCAATCCCACCTCATTGTCTTTTATACGTAGGACAGTAACTTCCCAAAACAAACAATCCCTCCTTCACACCCTCTTTGTCCTGTGATTGGCTGAGGTTTCTCTTATCTTTAATTTTAGAGCAGCAGTCCCCAACCCCCAGACCGGTCCGTGAGTTGTTTGGTATCAGGCCACGAGAGTTGAGGCTTGGGTGTGAAATTTATGGTTTTTAGGGTTTTTATTGTTAACTCTGTCTTTTCCCGTGTTGTAGTTGTGTCTTATTTTGAAAGAAATATTTACGCATTACCATAGCGACCAGAGAGGATTAAGGTGCAGAGGGGAGGATGTTACTCTCAATGTTGTTGGTGCATTTCAGGAGAACGCTGCTAATAAAGTTACACAATCACACAGTGAATTTGTGTTTATTATTATATTTGTAAAACACTCCAGTTTTTGTCTTAGTCGTATCATTTTATTTTGTTGTATTTATCCGGTCCGTGGCACAAAAAAGGTTGGGGACTGCTGCTTTAGCGCTCCTTTTTTTGGGTTTTTTTTTTTACCATTTTTAAACAAAGTGTTTCAGTGACTTTTCTTTGGTACAACCAAGTAAACACAAATGTGCCAACATATTACTCTACATAACCGACAGCTTTTTGTCTTCTTGCGTCGTTGACTGAAACATCCTGATTTCTGACAAAGATGGGCAATGTCATGCTAAAAAGAAACTTACTGGACCGGCGTTTTGCACCAATTTTGAACAAAATATGTGGTGCTCTTTTAAAAAGTGAAATCATGATCTAGTTATTCAAAAGGAAAAAAAAAATCCAGGAAGTTTGTAACTTGGATGTAGGAGCTACCTTCTCTCCAAGGTCTACCATCCACCGCCTAAAAGCAGTCGTTGATAAGCAAGTCACAGGTAGATGGCGACACAACAGGCTGGTAAGAAAATAGTTCCTACCTGAAACTGTTCACAAGACTTTCAATTGCTGGTTTATTTTAACATGGCCATTTTTGGGGACATTTTGAGTACTCACTTTTTTTTTTTAAGTCCCATAGAGAAAAGCCAGTGTAAACCAGTCCCAATGGCCTGATAGCTTTAAGCCAGCTGTGCGACACCCATCTTCTCCTCCAGGGGCCAGCTGTCCATAGGAGGAGCTCCTCCAATATAATAATAACATCTCAACTCCATATAAAACTCCAAACATTTACATTACTGCACAACCACAGCAGGCCTCCTTTTTTTCCACTGTGGCTGCTTTGTGCTTGGATATAAGCAGCTGTTTATGAATAGCAGAAGTGACCACTGAAACACACCCAAATATATATATATTTATATATATATTTTGTGTGTGTGTGACACTAAAACTGTGCTAAACAGGGCATAAAACTCGCTGAAGGAGCCTCTGATTCCAATAACTAACTCTAGTAAATAAGTGCTTAACAGCCAGATATGACCGCACTGACGTTTGTGAGGAATTCAATGCACCAAAGTGACCTCCCTTTGTTTTATTTCCTTCATTGAATTAGCTAGAAAAGAGGAAAGGAGGTAGCAGAAGAAAAGCAGCCTTGTGAGACAGGTTTCCTGTATATTATATGCATTAGGTGATCCTGCAGTAGTATTTCTGTCCAGGATATGAAAATATTAGAGGGATTCCAAGTTTAGGCAAAGGAATGCCTTGAAAATTCACCTAAGGAGAGGCCTGAGGGGGACATGTAAGCTTTTTCCAGAGTTTATTTTGGACACAAGGCGGCGATGGGAGGAGGAAGGAAGATCACTGGATCACTGCCCTGACTTTTTAAACCTGGAAGTCTCTCTGTCAACAAACAATGAAAGGGGAGTACCGCAGAAAAATTCAGCTGCACCTGAGTCACTCAGCACAGAGTGTGTGATAGGATTGCTATCATTACCCGTGTATGTGGCTAATCTAAACACAGCACTGATAGGAGTTTTCCCAGGCACTTAGAAGAGAAATGTCCATGACCACTTTGAGTAGCTTTTAGCAGCTGTGAAGACAAAAAAAAACTCACTACAGGCTGTGGAAAGAGTAGAAAGTGGATAAGGCAGCCAGCAGAGAAGAAAGAGGTCACAGATGACTCACGATGGGGGAATGTTTGCGTGTGTGGGAATATTCTGGTGGATGTCTGAATAAACATTTTTTTAAAAAAGCACACCACTGAGCAGATGAAGGATTAAAAAAATAATAATAACAATTTTTAAAAAACACATAAAACAACAGGTACCCGCATTACCTGTGGCGCAGAGGGCGATGAACGTCTGTGTGTGCTTGCGGACCATCACCACCTTTTCTTTGGGGAGGGGCAGCCTTCGTAGGATGTGCTCTACAAAATCATTGGGGATGACAGAGGCCATGTTCCACTTCAATTTCCCCAGCACAACCAGTTCCCAGTCCTAAAGCACAAGGATGAGGGTTAAAAAAAAAAGAGTGTGTGTCAGGGGGTTAAATGGCATGCTGCCACGTCTGTATCGCCCGTGAAAATGATCTTAGTCTGCCTCCATTCCCAGAGGAAATGGCTCTGTAAGAAGAGCAACATTTCTTCATTTTATCTATCCTCACTGTATCTTATTATCTGCATGCCTTTCTCATTCCTTGCATCTTTTGTGTTCATATCGCCGGCATGTGACAAGCCTTGCCCCGCTTAGAGGCCCTGCCAATGAGACAGCTAGCCCCTTCCTTCCTGTCATAAGCCTCAAACAGCGCTACAATGAGCTAGCGCTGCACAGGCAGCCGCACAGAGATCACTCTTTATACAGCAAGGCTCTGCAAGAGCAAGAAGACTGCACACACTGCATTATCTAATTTCCTGTTACTCTTAACTCATTGCATTCAAAACAAACCAATTTACTATATTTTTTAAATATTATTTAGCAGAGACATCAAATGAAGACTTCAACATCTAAAATTTACTCAGACAAACAATTAGTCATGATCAAGTTTTCAACACAATCAATAACACCTTCTCTAACCTCCCATACGAGAGAAATTTAGAGACTGACATGTGGTGCTGTAGCCATTTCTACCTGCCACTGTTTCTTTTTAAGAAAAACAGAAGTCCTAAAAAAGCAAAGCATCGCTCTGCTGCCTTAAAATAAATTGAATTCACTTAAGTTCTTCTGAGCTGTGATTGTGTGCGAGTTCCTCCAGAAGCCATTCATTGAAAAAACGCTTACATGTGTTGCTTTTTTCTTTGTTTAGGGTCCAAACTGCACCTGAGCTTTTATTTAAAGTTGCACAGGTGTGCCATTTAAAATAACTGTCAATTTGGAGAAAATAATCCAAGGGTGTGGCGAAGTGTCCCTGTAAATGGAGTTATTGACATAGGCACTCTAAAGGGGAAGTACTGTTGTAACGCTTTTATGAATAGCTAAACACTAGCATCAATACACTTTCATTCAGTAACAGATTCATGTCTAGACTTTGCTCCAAGCACTTCTGAAAGAATTGTACCTGCAGACGATAAGTGGGAACAAGTCAAAGGGAAGGCAGGTGAGACAGAAGTGCAGCATAGTGCAGTTTTACTGAGGCAGGATTAAAAAGACGAGGCAGGTGGTGACACCTATCAAATCTGAATCACTTGTGTTTTGCTCCCCTATAGAATCAAAATGAGCTGCATAAAGGTCAGTTTTTAGTTCACAACATGCTTATCGTTGGCTTTAAAAGAATTTAAAAAAATTTTTTCAAAAAAGCAGTGCACTGCCACCACGTCTGGCACTGGTGCTAACATCTAAAAATCTACCATTTCCCACCCCCTTAATCTAGAAATAACTCAACATTTCAACAGAATAAGATGCCAAAAAGTGACGGTACCATGTAAAACCCACTAACTAAAAGAAATTCACAGATGATTCACAGTCGCGATCATCGCGCTTTGATTTTACAGTTGTGAAAACGACTCAACCTCTGTTGAATAACACTGTGTACCGTTCCGTTCTTAAATCTATCAAAATGTGTGCTGCACTGGCACCCCGGCACATGCCAGTAGAGAGTAAGCCTCCAGTGGCACCACTGTAAAATCTAACTCCCAAAAAAAGCAAGCTAGGGGGTCTGATAAGGAAGGAACTTACTTTGAAGTATTAAATCGAACAAACAAAGTCTGAGACAGGAGAAATCATAACTAGAACAGACTAACACTTGGGCAGTAAATGTCACAGGTGAGGCTAACACTGGATTTTCACTGGTGTCTAGGCGACTGGTGGTGTGACTTATATCAGATAAGCCTGATATGAGGCAAGCTGGGCTGAACTTAACTTAAGGTGATACCAATAAATTTCTGTGGGAACATGAGGTCCATTCTGTTAACCATGACAAAACCTTTGCGATAACGGCGTCGTTTGGTTTTCTTCATTTATGGGTAGAAAAATATGAGAAAGGTTAACTGGAGTGTGTTAGAAATCACTGCAATCAAGAGCAAGAAATTAAAAGGGATTAAAACTACTCATATTTCTCATGAGAGAAGTTTTCTTTAATGCCCTTTTAACACTGAATGAACACAGCTGATTCTAATTTCTAACTTACTCTGTGTCACACAAAAAGTAACCGTAGTAAACACCGAAACCCCAACGCTCAGCAGGGACAGTCCCCCCACCCCGAAACGCTTTTCTGTCATCTAAAATGTCACCCGTCAATCCCATTTACGTGGGTTTCCTGTACATAACCAGCTTCTCTTCACCCTATTTTAGCCCCAATGGAGATCAATGATTGTGAGATGAATAGGGGACAGGTTTGCCACTGGTATGATCACTTCCGGGACATCTGTCCTGATGAAAAATACCACCCGCTACCATTGTTAAACTTCTCTCTTACAGGCAAACTGCCACCACCAGGGGTAGCACATTTACTGTAAGAGTGAGGAGCTACAATAATTTTCCAGAGGCTCCTGCTGCCTGCTCTCTGCATCCTGTGAGGATATCCAGGAATATGGAGCCTTACAACAATATGGAGCATCAAATCGGATGGATGTCATTTCCCTAAACAGCTGCAGCCAAGCAGGAGGACCCATAGGCTAGGTCCACACTAATGCGTTTTCACCCGAAAATGCATCGTTTTCTCTCCGTTCTGGCCTCCCGTTTACAATGAGACGTTTTCACTCATGGAAAACGCAGCATTTTGAAAGCGTTCACGAAAACACATACATTTGAAAACGGTGCTTTTGCATTGCAGTGCGGACAGCAAAAACAAAGACTTTCTAAAATGATGACACATGTTAGTCATATGATTCAGTCATGTGACCAATTAAACTAAGTTAGCGGAGGGCATTATACAGCAGTTGCTTTGTTTGCTCTCAATTTTGACAGCCGTATTAAAGATTAATCAGTCTGTACATGCTCCAGATAGCTTTTCTTCAAATTCTTTATTTCTCACGCACTTTTGCAACTTTTACTTTTGTGTTACTCGCAGCAACAACTCCACCTCATTGTTAGTCCATTTAAAAAACTCGGTGCTTTCCCTCAACATTTTGCCGCGAAGTTTCAAAGAGCCAGAAAGTAAATAAGCGGCAGACGGAAATGAGGCGGGTCAAATCTTCTTGCGCAGTACTGGAACGTAAGCGTTTTTGGCCGTTTCAATGTGGACGCACAACTCTGTGAAAACGACTGAAAACGCTAGTGTGGACGCGGAGCGGTTTCAAACGAAAACGCCGTTTTTAAATCTATGTCGGAAGTTGCCATAGAGAGCCTAGGCAGCAGTTTGGTCAAAATCAGGAGCAGATCTTACTGCAACATGTAAATTACTCTGGCACTGAAGTGGTTAAATAAAATCTGCAACTCTTTTAGTTGTTTAAGACAATTTCTTTTTTAATGGAAACTTCCAACAAGACATTTTTTAGGGCAGAAGCTAATGTTTGTTTGCTTGTAGAAGTCATAAACCAGCGGTCCCAAACTCATTTTACATCGTGGCCCGCTTTAATCTGTTAAATTCCCCCTTCTGTCAGCGTAAAGAAGTTTAACCACACGTATATTTTAATATAAGAAAAATAAGTCAGCACAACTCTTTGGGCTTTAATCCTAAGAAATAAATGTGTAAAATTAGGAACATTTAGTAAAGAAAATAACTTTTCTGACATTTAAGTGTTTATTACTTCGTTACTTTGGTGTAGTATGAATAGCTATGGAAAGAAAGCTGTAAAACTTATGAAAATACATGCCGTCCTTCATTTGCTCCAAAGCCATCTAATGGGCCGGATTGAGAGCCTCTGCTGGCCAATTCTGGTCCCCGGGCCTTATGTTTGGCACCCCTGTTCTAAGCCAAATGTTTCCAGTCACAAAAAGCCACCTAGGGGAGCCTGAAATTAACATAAACTGGATTAAAAAATTAGCTCTATAATATTAATAAAAATTCAGCATCGTGATCATCTCACTGTCTGCAAGTGAGAAGCAAACTGTTTTGCTGATGAGGACGATGTGATAGTATCAAAAGCTCAAAAGGAGGCTAAATAAATGGAGATAAGTGTTGGGTGGGTTATTTATCCTTAAATTTTTTTAAAGATCTTTCTTACACAACAAATGATTAACAGAGAAATTTATCTTAAAGGGACTTTTAAACTGCCAACATGGTGCCAAAAGTTGCCTTTAAAAGCATCCCTGGGTTAACGATTGTGTAGTAAATCGTAAGATAGTAAGAAAATAATACTTGAGCTGGGAGGTTTGGTTTTTAATAGCATGAAATACTCAATATGTACTAGAAATGCAGGCTTCCTCATGATATTCATATCCTAAACTGCATAACTGCCACTAGATGGCATCATGCGTCTCTTCAGGCCACATGGATCCAAAGAAAGGATGTGGCTGTATTGTGCTCCACTTACAAGGAAAATAGGAAACTTCCTGTGAAACCAATTCAGCCATTAGCATCATAAAGTCATAAAAAAAAAACGTGACACGACATCTTCATGCTCCCATGAGTGAGTGAGTGAATGTTTGGATGGATGAATGGATGGGACTGTTGCTCTTACCAGCAGTTCCCGTGGTGAGAATGAATTATCTGTGTACATGCAAAGTTTCTCTGCTGATATGGGCCTGCAGTCCTTTAGCTTGGAGGCCAGAAACATGCACACAGCTCCCAGAAGCTGCAAGTAACTCTTTCTTGTGGGCATCACTGCTAAAAATCTGTCCAAATAATTAATAGCTAAAGGAAAGACGTCTTCATTGCTCTTCTCCTCTTCACACACCTGGAAAAGTTTAAACAGGAGACACATATATTAGATAAAACTATGCCAAAACACCCAAAACAAAACAAAAACCCCAACTGCAATAACAAAATAGAAAAAGAAAAAAGAGGAATATATTTGTATATAAAACAGGTTTTAGTGGCTATTAATTCTGCTATAAATAGTACTGTTTTCGGGTTAAAGGTTAAATGACTGGTTTTCACGTCTTTTTTTCCTGCATGAAAGGCTGCAAAGTCAGAGCAGGGCAGAAACAAATTAGTTCAACAGCAACTCGTTCTGCAAAACCCCCACATCGCCATTCAGTCTCTCTTCCTTGTTGGGGCTTGCCTCACTCATCAAAAAATAAAAATAAAATAAAATAAACCACCCAAAAGCTTTATAAAGTGTGCAAAATATCCACATGTTTTCTTCAAACACTTTCCGACAGTTTTTGTGAAAGAACTTTACCAAAATCAACTTATTTTCTTGAGCTGAAAAAATGAAAGTAGCTTAGCATTCATGCTGCCTGCCTTGCCCCGAGCCTGAGTCACTTTTAAAAAATTAATAATAATTACTCTGAGGGGAAATTTTCGAGTTTTCGATTATGTAAATTAAGAATAAGTCCCCCCCTGTCGCCTGAGCTTACTAATTATCAGAAAGCACAAACTTTGAAGCTGTTAACCAATGTAAATATGCAGCTAGGCTGTTTTCTTTGAAGCCGAATTTTCTTCGTGGTGGAATTTCCGACTCTCCCACGCCTTTGGTGAGTCATTCTTATTCAATTGTCAAACAGGTTAACATCCATGACAACTTTCCACGAGCTAAAACGAGCCAGAAATAACTTGTAAGTGTGCAAAAACAAAACAAGACAAAACAAAAAACTGAAAATTAGCTAAAGCGGTTAGGTTAGCCCCGCGAGTGCATAAAATGCCCACAAACCTCATGCATCCAGCCTGCAACCATTCGTCTCATATAAGGCTGAATATCCTTCTGAACCCGCTGGAAATACGAACACTGAGGTAAAAATCTGTCCTCGATTGTTAATAAACTCTGCAACACTCTGTCATCACAGAGGATGTTTAGGTCAGGCTGGGCTCTCACGGCTAGGTCCGACTCCAGGCAGTAAAGCTCCATGTCTCGGCCCCCGTCTTCGCCCCGTTTTTTTGTTTGCTGTTGCTTTTGTTTTAGTTACTGAATAATATGAAGGAAAAGTAAATAAATATTGTTACGGTGTTTTCGACAGCGGACAAGAGGAGGAGAAGTGCCCAGGACGAAGCATGAGGCTGAGACTGCTGGGTTTGCTCCAGTCCTGCTGCCTCACGGTTCGCTTCCTCTCGCTGCCGTCGATGGGCCGCAGCTGCACGCACTACATCCGGTACGAACTTTCAAAATAAATGACTGAGAAGAAAGCGGAAAACAAACCGGAAACCTTATTAATAAAAACAAACAAGCAAAAACATAAAATAAAATAAATAAATATATATAATATTACTTTAAATTTTAAGGATTATCATTGTCATTACAGCAATACTATGTTTTTTTTGCCCTCAGTCCAAGAGTGAGCTTGTGAGATGGCTAGAGTCGTATCAAAGTTAATGGAGAGAGGACCATGTGTGTAATTGTGTGTATCTAGACAGCTGTACTGGGAGGCTATGCCCAAAGAGAGAGGCGGCAAATGCAAAAGGAAAGGCTAATGCATGAATTATGCTTTAGTGGAGAAATCTATGTCATCATGGAAAATTTCTTTTAACACCACGTTGTAGCTGTCCACTTAATCTCACATGACCCTCCCAAGTAATGTAACTAAACATTGGGTAAATGTAGAATGCAACAGCTTGAATGGCATCATAAAGTTAAAGGCAAGTTCCGGTTACAACCCAAGTTATGACATAGTTTTAAAGCAAAAGTCTAAATCATGTACATCAGGCTGAAAGATAATGAAAGGGGCTAGAAAGGATGTGCAGCAGATTAGAGTGATTAAGGACAGAGGAAATGTATTAAAGAGGGAAAAGACTATGCTGAGAAGATGGTAGGAATACTATGAGGAGCTCATGAATGAATGAAATCAGAGAGAGGGAGAGAGAGAGAGTAGAGTGGGTAGAATCCAAATGTCAAAAACAAACAATCCAAATATCCATAGTATTGATACCAACGGTGGTACTGGTGTTGGATTGATTTTTTGTTTATATTCTCTCATTTCAGTGCCGCTATGAAAAGGATGAAGAGTGGAGAAGTGGTTGGACCTAGTGAAATACCTTTGCAGGTATGGAGAAGTCCAGGAGAAAGGACAGTGGACTTTTTAACCAGATTATTTAACACAATGATGGAGACTAAAAGGATGCCTGAGGAATGGAGAAGAGGTGTACTGGTACCAATTTTCAACAAACGTAATCTTCAGACCTGTAGTAACTACAGAGCAATAAGGCTGATGAGCCACACCATAAAGCTGTTGGAAAGAGTTGTTAAACCTAGGTGCAGACTTGACTGGTACTTGTGTAGCACTCTCAAATATTTACACACTTACATGTTGATGGATGCATTGTCGGCAACTTCTGTTTCAGCATCTTCCTCAAGGAAACTTTGAAATACGTATGCACATGTGTATGTGTATATACATATGTTATTTCTATTTATTTTGTTTAGTTAATTGTTATGGATGGGCTGTTTTACATTTATAGGTTTATTATTACTAGTGGAACTTTAATTGTAGCCAAGGTTAATTGTTGAATAGTGATGATGACTAAATGGGATTTCCGATGGCTTATATTGTGTTAAATAAAACAAACAAAAACAAGTTTTTAAAAACTTTAAAAATTGCTAATGTCTGGACCCTTTGTTGGACCATCAATAGTCTTTGGGAGTCCATTTTAACACAGTTTACTACGCATACATTTCATCAGCTTTACATTAAAGAAAAATAATAGAAATAAAGGTTTAAACACCTCAAAAATAATTCATAGATGGTGTGCCATAGAAAACCCAATAATGTTGCTTAATTTATGGTTGGCAAAAGTGTGTCACATGAAGTTCATTATGCTGTTTATGGTAAAACTATAGAATCCAAACAACTGGGGACATTTTTTACATAGTTAAAGAACATTTTAGCTCAAAGTTTTTTCAGTTAATAAAGAACAAAATATAATTGCATAATTATGAAAAACAGATGGTGACCAAGCACATAAAAGCATTAACATTAAATGTTTAAGTATATGAATGTCTGCTGACAGAAATGCAATGCAGATGTTAAAAGAAATGAAAAACAATGCACAACAATAATAACAATAATCATTCACAGATTTCAGTAAACTGCTGGTGGCTATGAGTCCTATATGCTCCTCCTGTAATTATTTGTGCAAAAACTGCAGAAAGAGTCATCTAAATTTCACATAGATGTTGTTACAGGGGCTGTCAGCTGTGAATGCAATCTGGTTTAAGTTTGCTAGGTGTTTAAAACAGCAAAATAATTTACAGTTGAGGGAAAAAACTTGATATCAAGTCAGTTGAAGGCAGTATTAAAGTGGATATCAACTAGACGGCTGCTGTATATAAAAAAGGAAAGGATGCCACATTTCTAGAGTACAAATCATGGACCGTTTACATTATTAAATGCAGTTTATAGTATAAATCAGTACTTAGCACTGTCTGCCGTTAGGCCTGAAATTCTCCAACCCAGCTGTCCCAACATATTTGAGGATCGTGCAATAATCCACTGGACTGACTGCAAATACAACAGAACCTCTTTATTAATTTTCTCAAGCTAGCAGAACAGTGAGCAAACAGAGGGAAAAATCAGACAAGTATATACATCAGTGCATAGAATAATGCAGATACACACAATTTAGAGTAATCTGCTGCTTATTTTATCACTATCATGTTTGATTTCTTATCATTTCCTTACTGCTTTGCTCCTCATTAAACATTTTTCTTTTTTATCATTACTTTTTTGGTCATTTTTAACACAAGAAGAAGTAAGATGATCTGGCAAGACTGAAAAAA